TTTGAGGTGGGCCAATAATCTCCACTAGAGGGTTGGATGGCGCATTGAGCGAACAGGTATAAAGCCACCGGAAGTAAGCAGCTTGTCCCGGAAGTGAGCGCTTGACAGGCTTTCCCACTCTTACGACCGGTGGTCGAAACAGTGTCCAAGGCGCTTGATTTGCTTTTGTTATAACAAAAGAGCCTGCTTGTCGCGTTCATGCAGGCCCGAGATGTCTTCTTGGAAGCCATTTCATGTCTGAGAATTTCGAGATTCTAGTTGATTAAGTGTACACTCCCCAAGTTCAAGTGCCTCATTCTCAAGATTGATTCCTAAAAAGGATTATTAAAACCCACGTAAAAATGCAAGAAAGCATGAATCAAAACATTCACTGAATCCATTATAAAACCCAGCAAACACTCGATTTCTGGGACAAGCATCGAACTTCCGATGGCTTCACTCGTGCCCGACTCCAAGCTAGGCTAAGCGCCTTCCAGGCCCCTATATTAGAGATCAGTGAGGTAGGCCTACCGCGCGAACGACGGTCGTGCGTGCATGACGTCGGTGGTACCACGGGTGGCACCACGGGTGGCACCACTGTCGTCATAAGATGCTAGAGAGCCTCAAGTAAGAGTGCATTCAACTTAAACCATGGAGTGTGTTTGCAATTTAATGGCAGCGTTAAAGATGGCGGATTATACAGTTTTCTGCGTGTAAAAAATGCTTAAACTATTGGAACAAAAATGGTGTCTATAGAAAAGTGTTATTTTATTCTTCACATAAAATCTTCAAGCATCTGTTTTTCACCGGATTTACGTTGAAAAACTACCCGTATTCCCGTAACCAACAGCAAAATTTTGCAATTTAATGGTGCCCATGAACACATGCCTTGATCTAGCAGTTGAACACACTTTTACTTGAGGCCCTTAATTAGATGCTGGCTGGAAGCAGATGACGACATGCCACCTGCTTCGGCCGCTATGATTCATTAGATACTTTCAGTAGATATGATGTATTACCGTTCGATAATAAATAGGACTAAGGTACACAAACCACTTCCGTCCCACGGTGAGCTTCCATAGACGAAAACAATTTTTTTCTTTCATGAAATTGAGGAACCCCAAGTTACTCGCTTATATTTGCCTATGTAAAAGCAACTATTAAAATATATGCTCAAGCAAAAAGTGGCCACTTTCCGAGAAGAGTGTCCAACCCTTAGTTTCCCTTTTGTAGTAGCTTCTCCTTGGCTGGAACGATTATTGATGCCTTGCGTGGGAGAAAGAGCGGAGTCAATCATTGGTTCGGTGGCACCGATTACTTGAGGAACACTCGTATGAATCTTCCTCCCATTACTTTCATTTTAGGGAAAAATGCTTGTTGTGACGTGTGGTTTATTCGCTATGCTTAAATAGTTTTGTTGCTTTGCAGTTGTCGAAGATGGGACTGATTTAGTTATTGCATCAAGCTTTAAAGGCAATGAGGTCATTGCCAAAGTTCTGTGTTTTTGCTTTCTATCCCCTGTGAATAATTGTGTATCATAATTGCAATTATAATAGTTTTTATGACACTGTGAGGAACTGCGGGAATTTCTATAGTACTTGCATCGCTTTTTACAATGTGATAAACCGGAAAATCGCCTGCTCCAAAAGCTCTGATGTGGGGGACACGCTACCACAGCCGTGATGAAGCGCTCACGCATCTTTTTGCTGCAGATTATACTTCTGAGCACCGCCAGCAGTGACGGGGCCCATATGCTGGACGAACCACAGGACGCCACGAAATTGATTGTTCTCGAGCCAACCACGGGAAAACAGTGGTTCCTGGGACCCATCTTGGTGGATTTCAAGTTGGGAGCATTAGGAGCCTGCCAGCACTGGTCTTCAGCTACGATGCCTCTACAGAAGCCGCTATCCCACGCCAGTCATTCGAGGCACGCTACCACAGCCATGAAGGAACGCTCGGACATCTTTTTGCTGCAGGTTCGTTATTTGAATACTTCAACTTGCCGTCGTTCAAGCAACTATTGTCTGCTAGTGGTATCCTGCCCCGGTGCTTGGTTGTGCTGTTTTCGTTGCGTGTGGTCTTGGTTTCGGCACGTCATGTCCTTAAGTTTGCAGTGTGAAATAAATTAAATGAAATATGTGCTACAAAAGCCATGTTTTTGCTGCAGAAGCTGCTATAAGCAGTTCTTTTGTAAGCTTCACCACTGATGATTACATTTTGTCTGTTAATGCATGGAAAAATTAGCCACTTGTGCTTTCTTGCCTTTGAAACATGCTCAGATAATTATATGGTTTGAAGTTGAACCGGGGGGGGGGGGGGGGGGGGGGCTTCATTGTTTACTTTTAGAATGTAACACGCATCTCCAATGTTCAACTCAAAGAGCTTCCCGCAGCGTCCATCTGCATCACACTGGGCAAGCCTTTGTGTATCTTTTGGCATGCAGGATACAACACTACTTTATTTCAATTGTAGGCTACTGTATTACTGTAAAATACCAGGCAAGCGCCCACTCAAAATTTAGAGATAATCGCGAAAAAATGGAGAATGTGCGCTTGCCTGGTCATCAATTTTACGTATAAATGTACTATGCATATTTTCTCGGATCTTAAAAATTTGGATATCGGCGCCTAATGTGGAATGGGCGGATGCATGGTATTCTGCGGTAGCTAAGAGTTGTACTTGGAGTGTCATTCGGTACAAGGAAAATAGTTTTTCTTCATATGTTCACAAATCTGGTTCCCTCCATTTTCAATTATATATAAGTGGCACAGATAAGAAAGATTGTAAATAATTTGATTCCCAAAAAAACAAAAAAAGACAAGTGACACATTATTTCTAAGCTCACAGTTCACCATTTGCATCTCTGGTTTATTTCTATGGTACATACTACACAACAAGGAATCACCCTGTGCCACCTACCTTATCTGAATGCCGAGGTTGCTTGCTTTTGTTTATTGGTTGAAGGTGATAAGTTCCTTTTTCAACTAAGGGATGGACCGGATGAGGAAGCAGTTGTGGTTGTCACGAGCCAAAATTTCACCAGCTTCCACATATCCTTGCGATTCTATCCTGATAGCCTGCAGTTATCTCATCTTATTGAACTCGGTCATGCAACCGCATCTGGTAACTGTACTGCCAAATGTTCACACGACACCGAGGGCTGGCTTTGATATAGGGCTTTGCTTGACCTGCATAGGCTACGCAAAAGTGGATCACATATTGTTCCCACCATACAATGCACCTGAAGGTGTCTCCTCTTGCAACGTTTTTTTTTTTTTGCTCCTCTTCTCTGTTTAATACACAAACTGATATCCATGGGGGTAGGTGGTGCCATATGATTTAAGTTATCTTCTATGTTTTGTTTTATCTGTAATTCCTGGTAGCAACCTCCACTGAGAGATCCTTTTGTTTGCCGAGTCACTTCTATCCGTACCTGTTTTTTATGTTTCCTTTGTGATGTATCAACAAGCCAGTCTACAATTTTAGTCGCCATGCATTTTTATCCTAATTATATTGACGAGTAGGATCACTTGGGCTCTGTTTTGGTTGTTGGAGTACCATAAAAGTCCACGCTATGTTTCATGGGAGTTACTTCAGCTCAAGTTCAAGTTCATTACCTTAAGGGCATTCTCGTGGAATGCATTGGGGGGGGAACAAGAATTTGTAGTGGCAATAACAACATTCTAAATAGGTTAAGCATTAATTTCACGTACACACAAACAATTGTTTACGTGTATGTGTAAAACAAAACAACAGCTGTAGGTATTATTTTAGAAATCAAATGGTTCTAGATTTTTCAGGAATGGAAAAAATGAAATCTAAGTATGTCACCGAAGCCCATTACATGTTATATAAAGCTGCCAAATTAGTTTATCAAAAAATGCATTAGTTTCATACAAAAAATTCTAATTATATGCGGGACCCTTGGGTCCACCTACTCAGCGAGCCAGGCCTTGGTGACGACATCTGCCTTGTCCCTTTAGTGTCTCTAGTCAGTCCCAAGCTGCGGGGCGGTGCCACTCGTAGATCTCTTGTATGCACTTTCAGATATGGATCAGAAGGCGCCCAGGCGTCCCTCGCCTCAACTAAGCTCTTTGTCCCACTTTTCCCTCCCAATTTTTGGGAAGTTGGAATATCTGGCACAGCTTGCTCCTTCGAATGCAACGTCACTTAGGTACAGAGCCTGAGTAACGGACAGGCGTGGCGTGGCGAACGCGGGTAGAGAACAACGAAAGAGAGATTGTTTAACGTCTTAATCAGAGTCACATGGTTTATCGACGAGCTGCCGTCGCCACAGTAGGAGTTGTGTCAAGGTATCCTGGTCCCCAGATAAACATGATGAACATTAAAAAAAATAATTTTGTAATTATTGGAGTTTTAAATATTCTGAATTGTTTAGTGTATATGCAATAAGCTATCGTTCTGTCATGTAACAAATACTCTAACTTGCCTAATTTCTGTGTCCATGCCCCTTTCAAGTTGTTTCATTTGGGGTTTACAGCTTTCTTAAATCACACTGGCACCTGCAGTGCACTTACGTGTAACTCATAGTTTGCAGATATCGGGAGGTTTAGTTTGTCATCGCATTCTATTCAGAACCTAACCACATCCCGCATTTTTTTTTTTCAGGTTCTGTAGTTGTTTATATGGACTTGATTGCTCTGGAAGTTATGATGATTGCCTTCCACAGGAAGGCTGGACGTGACCCACGAATTAATTCTCAGGAATAAAGGTATGCACGTGTTTTATTCCCTGCTGCATCTTGTGTGCACTTCCTCGAAATTTCTTACTAACACGGTGTTCAAGCACCTGTTTATCTCTGGGAGGTGCACTTTCTTAAATCACACTGGCACCTGCAGTGCACTTACGTGTAACTCATAGCTTGAATATCGGGAGGTTTAGTTTGTCATCGCATTCTATTCAGACCCTAACCACATTCCACATTTTTTTTCCAGGTTCTGTAGTTGTTCATATGGACTTGATTGCTCTGGAAGTTATGAAGATTGCCTTCCCCATGAAAGCTGGACATGACCCATGAATTAATTTTCAAGAATGAAGGTATGCACATGTTTTACTTCCTACTGAATCTTGTGTGCACTTCCTCGAAATTTCTTACTAACATGGTTTTCAAGCACCTGTTTATCTCTGGGACGTGCACTTGGCAGTAACATCTGAAATTAACTTACGACAGCAGGCTTGAAGAAACTCCGTGAATGCGGCAACTTTATCTTCGAAGGCATTTTTCAAACTTCCCTTGCTACAATGGTTTCGTAGCATAAGTCATAAGTTGGTTTCACTGTCTAACGTTTGCCAGAATTAAGCTGAGGTTCCTGCACTGCACTTATGTGCAGCGCTTAAAGTCTGGGTCGTCTCAGGGGGTCCCCCACTGATTTTAATGGATGGTCTGGGACCCTCCTCCACAGCCCCAGCATTTGTGAAATCAAAATCATATCTTGCAATAAAATAGCTTGTTTTCAGGAATGTGACATTTGGGAATTAGCAATTCGAGGGTTGCAGGTACGGTGGGGACAGAGTCAGCAGTGGGTGTTATTTTATGTGCATCTAATACATTTCGTCAAAACCCCCCCTCCCGCCCTCCTCCCTTCTTTTAGGGACCCCCCTCAACCTAAGGGAGACTTCAAGCTCTGCTTATGTGCAACTAATAGTTAGCAGGAAATGGGAGGTTCGTTCTGTCATCACATTCTGTTCAGAACCTAATCACATACCACATTTTTTGTTTTGTTTTCCAGGTTCTGTAGTTCTCCCTATGAGCTTGATTGTTCAGGAAGTTAGAGATTGCTTTCCATGTGAAAGCTGGAAAGCAAGCCCACTAATTATTTTAAGAATAGACGCATGAACATGTTTTACTTTGTACTGCATCTTATGTGCACTTGCTTGAAATTTCTTACTAACACGGTGTTTAATTATCTCTGGAAGGCACAGTTGGCAGTAACTTCTGAAATTAACTCGTGACAACAAACTTGAGGTATTTTATTGGATGTGGAAATTCTGTCTTCAAAGGAATTTTTCTAACCTCCCTTGTTGAGATGGTTTCGGATCATAAGTTACAAGTTGGTTTCACTGTAGTGCTCGCCATAGTTAAGATGAGGCTCCTGCAATGCGCTTAGATGTAACTCGTAGTTTGCTGAAATTGGGAGGTTTATTATGTCATCGCATTCTGTTCATAACCTAACACATTCCACATTTTTTGTTTTTGTTTTCCAGGTTCTGTAGTTCTCCATGTGGACTTGATTGCTCTGGAAGTTAGATTGCCTTCCAAATGAAAGCTGGACGTGGCCCACTAACTATTTCTCAAGAATAAAGGTATGAACATGTTTCACTTCATACTGCATCTTACGTGCACTTCCTCGAAATTGCTTACTAACACGTATTCTTGTGCGAATAGATGATTTTGAGTTAGAAGCGAATAGCGGTATTGGCCGAATATTTTCGATTTGAATATCGAATAGTTTTTCCATGCTTTTTACTATCACTGCATAATCCTTAGACGAAAACCCAGCTAAACTTGTGAACATTGTTCCACTTGTTTGTTTATACGCGAAGTTTAATCTATCTATATTTATGAACTGTGACTTCAGAAGTTCTGATGTCTTGGAATGGCAAGTAAACGAAGGATTTGACATAAAATGAATCCTATAGAAATGTCCAATTGAGTGAATTTACAAATCTTGCTATATAAAATAATCTTTCGTTAATTTGAGTTAAAAAATGAAAGCCGTTTACGACTCCCTGTAACACCGGATAAGAGCGCAGCTCTTGAGGAGGAGGATGGAAGGGTACTGAGGGATAGGTGACCCCCTGAGGTTGCGCGACCTCGTGGGGGCAGGTCACGGGACTTCAGGGGGGTGACCCTCATGAGGGTAACTCTCATAACCCTCATGACCCTTGTGAGGGTGATCCTCGTGAGAGTAACCCTTGCGACCCTCGTGAGGGTAACCCTTTCGAGGGTAACTAATTCTCGCAACCCTTGTGAGGGTAACGCTTGTGACCCTCGTGAGGATAACCCTCGTGACCCTAACCCTCGTAACCCTCACGAAGGTAACCTTCGTGACGTCATTATGGGGAACTTCCCATAATGCAAAGCGCGATTACGGCGACGCCGCTCAAGCCGGAAACGGGCGCCTAAGAGCTGTGCTCTAAAAGAACGAATCGCGCATGAGGAACGCAGGTTGTAAGGGCATCTCTGCCTAACATAGTATACTCTTGCATAACAGTCAGTTTAATTTTAAAACTTTTACTACAAAGTAGATATGCACATTCACAAAGTTTCCATTTATTTTCAGATACAGCCGGCACACGTGCACCACCCCGCGTTCAATGTATGCTTTTCTTCCAACCACGCAATTGCGATATTTCTATTTTCCCAAGTGTTTATCGTAGTGGGTTATCCTGTTGAGTGCGCTTCTTATTGAGCACCGTTGCACTGCGGAGAAGCAACACCCGCGGAGCTCGCTTCCGCAGGTATTGCTTCTCCGCAGTGCAACGGTGCTCGGTAAGAAGCGCACTCAACGAGACTAGCCCGCCGCACGCAACCAACACTTCAAAAAACACGAACAGCACAGTTCTTCTCAAAGCGAATATAGAATAGTGTATTATTTGAAACTACAGTCCGAAATTCCGAATACTCGCACAACCCCACTAACACGGTGTTTAATTATGTCTGGGAGGCACAGCTGGCAGTAACTTCTGAAATTAGCTCGTGACAACAAACTTGAAGTAACTTATTGAATGCGGAAATTCTGTCTTTAAAGGAATTTTTCTAACTTCCCTTGTTAAAATGGTTTCATACCACGAGTCACAAGTTGGTTTCACTGTTTAGTGCCCGCCAGAGTTCAGCTGAGGCTCCTTCAATGCCCTTACATGTAACTCATTGTTTGTGAAAATTGGGAGGTTTATTCTGTCATCACATTCTGTTCATATCCTAACCATATTCCACATTTTTTGTTTTGTTTTCCAGGTTCTGTAATTCTTCCTATGGACTTGATTGCTCAGAAAATTAGAGATTGCCTTTCACAGGAAAGGTGGACATGGCCCACTAATTATTTCTTAAGAATAAAGGTATGAACATGTTTTACTTAATACTGTATCTCGTGTGCACTTCCTCGAAATTTCTAACACAGTGTTTAAGCAGCTGTTAATCTCTGGGATGCGCAGCTGGCATTAACTCCTGAAAGAACTTGGACCCGCAGCCTTGTCACATTCCCTGGCCATTAGATATTTAATTTGAATTGTTCCCGCGTCAAAAATTAGTTTACGTGTTGTCTGTAACTTGCAGCGGCAGAAAGCTGTAACTCTCAATCACTGAGCTGCACATCATGAGTGACGACGGGAATCGTTCCGACATTGAAAATTAGCTGGCGTGTTGTCCGCACATTGCAGCAATGGCCAGAGACTGTTAAAATGTTAGCTGCAGTGATTTAACAAAACCGATATCTCCGTGAACAATAAATAAGCAGTAAAATGCTATATTGTTCACTTAGACATCCATTTTGTTAAGTCACTGCAGCTAGCAGTTTAACAGGCTGTGGCCGTCATTGCAAGGTGTGAACAACACACCTGCTAATTTTGTATGCAGGAACGTTTCCTGTTTTCGCACATCACGTACAGCTCGGTGATTGAGAATTACAGTTTTTTGCCGCTGCAAGTTACGGACAACACACCAGCTAATTTTCGATGCCGGAACAATTTCAGTCGTTGCACATCACGTGAAGCTCAGTTATTAACCGTTACGGTTTTTTGCCGTCGCAAGTTACGGACAACACGCCAGCTAATTTTCGATGCCGGAACAATTGCCGTATCTGTGGATCACGTACATGAGAGTTACGGTTTTCTGCCATGCTTCTACGGGTCAAGTTACGGGCAAAAACCGTAGGGCCTCATTACTGTCATGCACGTAATACTTACGTAATGCTGTGACCGTTATGCAAGACAACGGAAATTGTACCGGCATCAAAAATTTATTGGCAATTTCTGTAATTTGACGGGATTTTTTTTTTACAGTGTAGAAGTTGCAGACATGACAAAGCTGAAAAGCGATGTTGATAAAATTTCGAACACAGTGGTAGATAACACTACTTCACTGCAACACCTCGCGGAAAAAGTTGACTCTTTGGAAAATCAGTCTCGCTGGAACAACATTCTGCTCTATAACATCCCAGACACACCTAACGAAACATAGCGGGAGTCGGAAGAAAAAGTAACAAGTTTCTGCCACACAAGTCTTGGCGTTACTCTCACGCCGTCCGCCACCGAGCGTGCACACAGACTTGGAAAGCACCGTAATGAGGGTCCCCTCCCAGTCCTATTACAGTCAAATTTAACTCTTTCAAAGATAAAGAACTCGTCTTATATAAGGGTCCCGCATTAAGGGGATTAATCTTCCGGCTAAGCGAAGATTTCTCCCCAGACGTACGTGTTGCAAGGCGGGCGTTGTTAGCGTTGGCAAAAAACCAAGGTCATGGTTTTCGACTACGGCACGATAAGCTTTTCATTGGAAGTACTCGGTAGCGTTTGACAAGGAAACGAATTCCGTGAAAGCTATTCCAGGGTAGCAACCAAAGCAGAAAGAAAAAAGATTATCCCGACGCGACCACTCTGCCTGCCTTTCTTTCTTTATCGCCAACGCAAGAAGCGTGTGCTCATAACAAGAAGAGCTACAATCTGCTGTTAATTCATGTTCTGCTGATATTGTGATTATAACAGAATCTTGGTTAAACGGAGACATTGATAATTCTGAACTACTGTTGAATGACTCGCATTCAATTTTTCGTAAAGCCAGGGTGGGACGCGTGGGAGGGGGCGTTTTAATAGCGGTTAAAATGCATTGCATGTTCTAAAAAGCCAAGTGGTGTATGACTGTGAAGCATTGTGCGTCCGAATAAAGACACCTTCGTCCTTTGTACTGATCATTGCCTGTTACAAACCACCAGACCTTTTAGGACTACCTTACGTCCCTTCTCGAGAAACGCATAGAATCCCTCACCGAGTTGTATCCCTCAGACGTATTTATACTCGCTGGTGACTTCAACTACCCCGAAATCGCATGGCCTGCTGCACCTGCCCGCATGCCGTTCGGCTTGTGGCGTTCTCTTCCCGCTCAGGCCCGGTGTTTCGTTGACTGGTGCAGCGCGCACTCTCTTTTCCAAATGGTAGATAAGCCAACTCGCGGCTCCGCAACTCTTGACCTATTTCTCACTACCAAGCCGGAATGTGTCACAGCTGTCGAACTCTTAGAACCTCTTAGCGATCATTTGTCTATTTACGTCCAATTGTCCATTCCAACGACTAAGTCCTGCCAATTAAGTAAGACTGTGTTTAGTTACCCTCGAGCCGACCAAAATTCTCTTCTTCTTCATCTATCACGTTTCATGCATACCTTTCCAGAGGGCTTTCAAAGTAGAACTGTTGATGAAAATTGGATCCTAACCAAGAATGCACTAATAGAAGCCTTGCACACATTTATTCCCAGAGTTCATATCAGGTCATGTAGCGAGCGCCCTTGGTTTTCTCTTCGTCTCAAACGGCTTCTCAGTAAAAAGCAAAGGCTCTATGGTCGTGCAAAGCTCGTAAAAACCTCATCAGCGTGGCCTAAAAACCGAGAAGGCGCCTCGACTTGCAAGTATAAAATTAAGAAAGCTAAGCGTAAATTCTTTAACGTAGAGCTCTTTAATTTGCTGAAAACAACACCCAAGAAATTCTGGTCAACTATAAACCCCAAGCAAATGAGACCATTCCCCCGCATCGTTGACTCGGGAACTCTCGGAAAAAGAATGCTGTGAGACACTTAACTTTTATTTTGGCGATGTTTTCACAGAAGAGTCTTTTCCCTTACCCGACCACACGCCCCAATATACAATCACAACCAGGATGGACCCTACTTCTATTACACCGTTTGGTATCGAGAAACTGATTGATAACCTTCCCAATAATTCTGCCCCAGGCCCGGACGACATATCGACTAAACTGCTTAAATAAACTAAGCCTGTTTCCAGTATTCTTCTATGCAAGCTATTCCAACAGTCCCTTGACTCCGGTGGCGTACCCTTTGACTGGATACATGCTCGAGTAAGCACAATATTTAAGACCAGGGACAAAGATTGCCCCACGAATTATAGGCCCATTTCTCTCACCTGTGTTGCAAGTAAGTTGACGGAGCATATTGTTTATTCAAAAATTATGAAATACATGGTTGATAACGGTCTACTTTTGTAAACCAGCACGATTTCCGACGGTCTCTGTCCCGTGACA